AAAACAGCGGCTACAGCAACTGCTTTGGTTGTTGGTCAGAAGGTCAGAGTTGGTGGCCACAGCCCCTCCCCATTCATGCTCCGCTTCAGCTGGGCTTGGTCATTTGCCTGGTGACAGTGGGCCAGATCTTCACATCTATGGGCTCTGGGTCCTTGTGTGGTCTGATGTGTATCGAGGTGCCTCCATTTTCCATTGTCCGGGACGTCTGGTGAGAAAGCTTGCACAGAAGCCCCAGTGACCCCCTGGGGGCATCATCCTCTTCATCCCCATGGTTAGCAGGGACACAGCTTCCCTCTGCACCTAGGACCAGTCCCTCCAGGGGACACGCCTCCTCTGACTGCTGGTTCACTGGCGTGAGTGCAGTTTCCCCTGCCAGTCCAGTTTCCACGTGGAAGGCAGCCTATCTCAGACCAGCAGCGCTCCGATCCATAAGACCAGGGCCTTGGGATGGGAAGCAAAACTTCCTCCAGCAGTGACTTCCTTTAGTTTGAGGAACGCCACTCCTTTGTCCGTTGTGTGCTTCCTGGACATGTGCACTTTGCTTTAAGGCAGTGGTCGGCAAACTCATTAGTCAACAGAGCCAAATATCAACAGTACAACGGTTGAAATTTCTTCTAAGAGCCAAATTTTTAAAACTTAAACTATATAGGTAGGTACATTGTTATTAACTTAATTAGGGTCCTCCTTCAATTGCACTGTATGTGCGCGCCCGCACGTGCTATTTTGTGGAAGAGCCACACTCAAGGGGCCAAAGAGCCGCATGTGGCTCAGGAGCCGAGGTTTGCCAACCACTGGTTTAAGGCATGTGCCGAATGGGAACCCATCCCCTGGCAGTGGAGCAGATGATTCCATCATTCCATCAAGCTATCTGCTCTTGGGTGATGGGCCTGTGGGGAATTACTGGGACGTAGTTAGATTTCCTGGCCCTGAAATGTGTTTGCTGCATCCCATGCTCGGGATATGCACTCCGCAGATTCACAGTGTAGTCTGCCAGCAGCTGCGGCTCAGAAGGAGGGCATGTACAGACCCAGGCCCTCCACGCCGCCCCTCTGTGATGGAAACGCTCTCATGGAACCAGCATGCCCCCAGGCTGCCAGCCAGTGCTCCTGGGCACGATGCCACATCCAGGATCATGCCCCAGCCCCTGCTGTTGGCAGGATGGGAACTCAGAAATAGAGTCAATTACTATGAGGAGAAACTCGCAGTATTGTCCCCACTTTCCATATGGCGCTGTGATGCCTTCACATTCACAATATTTGAATTGAGTCCTGGCTGACCCCTTGACGGCAGCCTGAGAGCCAGAGAATCCCGCTAAGCTGTCACCAAGTCCCCGACACACAGGAACTGTGAGACAGTGTTTCTTGTTTTATTTCTTATTTGTTTATTTTTTAAAAATAAATCTTTACTGTTCATATTGTTACAAAAGTTCCCGCTGGGACCAGTTTGGCTCAGTGGTAGAGCACTGGCCTGCGGACTGAAAGGTCCCGGGTTCGATTCCGGTCAAGGGCATGTATCATGGTTGCGGGCACATCCCCAGTAGGGGGTGTGCAAGAGGCAGCTAATTGATGATTCTCTCTCATCGATGTTTCTCTCTATCCCTCTCTCCTCCTCTCTGTGAAAAATCAATAAAATATATTTTTTAAAAAAGTTCCTCATTTTCCCCCCCTCCACCAGGTTCCCACCCCATCCTCTGCCCTTTCCCCACCCCACATTGTCCTCATCCATAGGTGCACAGTTTTTGTTCAGGCTCTTCTTACACCCCCCTCTTCTCTTTTCCCCGAGAATCATCAGTTCACTCCCCTTCCATACCTCTGATTCTATTATATTCAACAGTTAATATTGTTCATCAGGTTTTTTAATTCCCTTGGTTTTTAGATTCTCCTGTTGATAGTTACATACTTGTTGTTCATAATTTTTATCTTTATTTTCTTCCTCTCCCTAAAGAACCCCCTTCAGCAAGTCATATTATTCTGGTTTAGGGGTGATGAGCTCCTTTAGCTTTTTTTTATTAGTGAAGCTCTTTATCTGACCTTCGATTCTGAGTGATAGCTTTGCTGGGTAGAGTATTTTTGGCTGTCGGTTCTTGTTGTTCTTCAACTTAAATATTTCTTGCCATTCCCGTCTGGCCTGCATGGTTTCTGTTGAGAAATCAGTTGACAATCATTTGAAATCAGCTGACAATCGTATGGGTGCTCCTTTTTTGTTTTAAATCGCTAAGTTTGGGAGTCATTTGTCATATGGCGACAGAGAACTAATTCGGAACCTGCTGTTTTTCGTCTCGGACTTCGCCAAGGTGCCACACAATGCCGATGTCTGCCGTGGATACATCACAAACCGCTCAAACTTCTGGGCCCACGTGGCAGGGTGTCTTGCGTGACAGCCTGGACCACTTTCTACAGAGCCATTTATTATCCTGATTCCACTCAAAATTTCAAACTTCATCGGCAGCCTGGTAAATGAGCCAGAATGGTCCGTTCAAATGTAGTCTGTGTTATCTCCCAGACCAGAGAGGCCCGTGAGCATGTTTCGGGGTGAGCGGAACAGGTGCAGACATCCGTCTTTCCCTTCAGAGAGGATAGCTATGTCCATTCAAGGACCAGGGTCCTGGACCTGCGCCACTCCAAGCTCTGACATGCTACTCTGAGGCATCCTAGTTTCTGTTTCCCAAATCCAGTTAACACAGCAGCAGGTCTGCAACGTAACAGGCCAAAAGGATGTGTAGCAAAATGTTCAAGGTCTCTCCTGAGGGTGCAGTCATGACACAACTCCGAGTCCACATTGTAGCGGTTTATTGCTGCCCCTGCCATGCGGAGGCAAAATACACCTGATCATCTTTTCGGAAAGGAGTGGGGGCAAGCAAACGTTTTCTAGGTCAATAGCTGCATATCAGGTGCCAGGGGGTTTGCTCCGGGAACGACCTCACACCCAGCCCCCCGGCTGCAGGTGCCACCCCCACCCCCTTGATGAAATGTGTGAGACTTTAAACACAGAGCCTGACAAGTCTGTGGGCCAGATCCTGCCTGTGGCCTGCTTCTGTATGACCTGCAAACCAAGAATGACTTGTGCATTTTTCAAGGGTAGCAAAAATAAAACAAGGAGGATGTGGCCAAGGCCAAGAATGGCCCACTAAGCTTGAAATAACGACTGCCTGGACATTTACCGTGAACCATCCTGTGCTGACCCTGTCCCACAGAGGTGAGGCCAGTGGGCGTGTGCAATGACCACGGCTGCAAGCTCAAGTCCTTGGTGGTGGCATTGGTTTCTGCAGGTCCCTCCTGGCCTGAGATGCTGGTTTTGGTTCACCGTCCTGGTGAGAGGGAATTCCACGGTAACATCCCTCACTCCAAGGACCAGAGAAACAATGCAGCTACTAAGTGTGTTTATCCTGGGCCTGGGGGGATCCCCAAGGGATGGATGTGACCCCACTGGATCCAGGAGATGGACTTGGGCCAAGATGCCATCTCACACCTGAAGTCCAATTTCTCTATTTGATGAACCATGTGGGGTTTGGGCCTTTGAATATTAGTGTCAGTTCAGAGCTCGTATTTAATGGCCTTCAGAGTCACTATTTATTGACCTCCAAAAAGCCTAAGTATTCTTCTGTGTCCAGTGCACAGTCACCTGGTTGTATTAGTTTCCCAGGTCGGCTGTAAACAAAGCATCATAAACTGATGCACAACAGAAATTTGTTGTCTCACAGTTCTGGAAGGCAGAAGTTGGAGGTCAAGGTGCCACCAGGATTGGTTTCTTCTGTCCCAGATGAGATTCGCGTTCCTCAGAGCCTAATCTCTCACTGAAGAAAAAAATATTCCTACTATCATCCATCCACTCACCCATCCATCCATCCATCCATATGCATCCATCCATCCATCCTTCAATGGGTATTTGTTCAATAAAGCACCATTGTAGGTGCTGAGGCCACCTGAATGCACAGGGTAGACCAAGCCCCTGCATCAGGACCCATCCATTCTACTGGTGGACGGGCACGTGAGGGAATTGCTTCAGACATTCAAAGATAAAAATGAATAAATAAAAAAGAGCCATGACAGAGGAAGAGCCAGAGCAGGGCAGGGCCGCAGGGAGGTGGCCCTGAGGAATCCCCTGGGAGGACATGAGCGACTGACCCCACAGACAAGGGGAGAGGGGTCCGCCAGAGGGAATAGCACCTCTGCTTCATCACTTTCCCAGTCTGCTCTTGTACATGTCACTTCGTTGTTAAAGGGAAATAAAAGTAAAGGATTAATTTGGATAAATAAGTAACAATGCTCACTAATTCCTGTGTGGAGGATGGCAGTGCCGTCCCTCCACACAGGCCCTGCCTGGGTCCTCGGTGGAAGACCTGACGGTGCTCAGTTCACATGCGAAGTTGCCATGGAAATGTCTAACAAGACAGCACTAACGGAGGGAAGATGAAGTTTGAAGTTCAAGACCCCTGAGGAGGGGAAGGGAGGGGAGGAAGGCAGGCCTGTCATTCTCCTGTTCATCCTGCCCAGGTCAGCTTTCTCCCTCTCCGGACTGGGATTCTCAAAATTGTTGGAAATAACCCATGTCGAAAGGTCAAGGCCAGACGGGCAGGCTCCTCTGCTCCTTCTCCTCCCTGAGTGGTGTGGCAGGGACCCCGTGAGCCACTGTTCACACAGCTGCGCCTTCCGTGGGCCATCTCTCGCTATGAATCACTTCCCAGTGAGTGTACTATTGACATTAGCCGATACGGACCAGTGCACTGAGGAGACTCCCATGGATAAGAGCGGGGCGTTCTGAATCTCCAATCCCTCACCAAGATGACTACGAGACTCTGATTTTCCTCTATCAGCAAACTCGTCCGTGTGGCTTGCCCGTGTTTAGAGAACACCTTTTTAATCAGTGGAGGACTGTGAGACCCTCCTTAGGCAAATGTTATCTAACACTCTTTCAGCAAACAGAGCCAGGCTTAAAATCGAGGGATCAGACAGATTCTCACCCCCGACTCAGAGTCTCCCGGGAGCAGCGAGGAGAAAGGCATGGCCACCATGGAGCCCAAGGTGATCTGCGTCCTGCTCGTGATCTTCTCGCTGGCCTTCAGCAGCCTGGCCCAGGTCCAGACTGGTAAGCAGCCCTCTTCCTGCTTCTTAGGGGGGAAACTGGGCACAGAGAGGCAGCCCTGATGGGGGTCTTTGCTGCACAGTGTGTGGTTTTGAGCCAAGCATTGTTTTAGGCTCTTGAGAGGGGTTGGAAGGCAAAAGCAAGTGGCGGCAGCAGCGGGAGAAAGGGCCAGTGAGTCCTTGGAGAACTGCCGTGAGAAAGTGGGTTCCTTGGTCGGCACTATCTTCTGGTCCTGACGCCATGAGGCTGTTCTTGAACATCGTATTTTAAAGAGCAAGCGTTGATGTAGGGTGTATGAAAAGCACTTCTAAATGTCCCAGCCAAACCCTAGCCCAGGGAGTGGGACCACTCAAAAGTCTACACAGATGTCCAAGTGCCTACCCCACAGGTGGGCATCCCAATACCCTCTCTGAGCCAGTGCTCTGCAGAGCCCGAACCACCTACCCCATTCATTCATGTTCCATCAATATTGGTCCAATATTGGTTCCATCAATAGTTGCCCAGTGAGAGAGGGCACTGCTGCTTCCTTTGAATTTGTTTGTGTCTCAAGGCCTTTATCTTCAGAGTATGGTCAATTGTCTGTGATGTTTGCAAAAAGTGCTTTGTAAGCTACAAAGTGCTGAATCAACATTACTTGTTAATGTTAGAATGCATTGCTGGATTTCACAAAGGAATGAGTGTAGGTATCTGCCCTCTCTGTCTAGCGGGAGTGTCCCACATCCAACTGTCTTTGGAGGAATTGTTTATCACGGAGTCAGATGCCCCAGGTCAAGGCCACCTGTGCCCACCTCTACCCTGAATCTCCGTCCACTTGTCCTCTGACCAGCCTCCTTCTGTTCGGCCTCCTTCCTTCTCTGCCCCTTCACTGCCGATGCTCCCACGGCCTCACTCCTCATCCTCCCTGCCTTCTCACTCCTGGCACAAGGCCATGTGCGCCTCTGAGCCCAGGGGACAGAAAGGAGCTCCTCACCCTCCTATGCCCCCTCTCCCAGCTCCTCTCCCATCGCCTGCCTCAGCCTGCCGAGTTTGCCTTCTCTCAGCCTCTGACCCCGAGGGCAAGTCCCACTGATCTTGCATCCAGACCACGTGGGAGCTATCAGCTGGCCCGTCTGCCCTGGGGCCTTCCCCCATTGGGTCATCTCATCACCCCCTCCCCCCCCCCCCGGTGAAAGCTGTTGTTCTCAGGCTGCAACTGTGCATCCTTGCCCTTGACCTAGCTCCTCCCAGACCACCCACCTCAACCTCGGCATCGTCTCTGCACACGGACTTATACCGCCTCGAACATGACTTGCTCTCCCCCTTCGCTGCCATTGACCACGCTGCTCCCTCTGCGTGGAACACCCACTGCCCCATCCTCAGAGGCCAACCCCCTCCAACGGAAAGCGCTCCTTGCTTTGCCCAGCCTCCTTGTCACTTGTCCCTTCTGTGCTTGACCTGGACATACTAGGATGGTCACACTGTGCTGCTTTGTACATCTACTTGGCTTTCTCCTCCATCTGATGTTGGTTCCTTACCAAGCATGTCTCCATTTTAATTTCACCACCACCTGGCACGGAGCCTGGCATGAGCTCGCTGCCTGTTTTTGCTGTGTCATCCTGTTCCTAGCACACGTAAATGGTGTTCAATAGACACAGTAATTGAGTAAATATGCTTAATAATCGTTAGTTGAAATTAATGAGCGAATGAACACGTTGTCCAGGTAGGTGCAAGGTTACAGATTCCGGGCACCTTGCGTTTCCCCTGAGGTGATGTGTTTACCTGCCAGGAAAGGAGGACAGGTCTCCCTCTCGGACCCCGAGGCCTGGGTCTGCATCAGCGCGCCAGCCGGTTGCTGATTTAACTGGAGAATGAAGCGGGATGGGAGTGTGGATAGACACAGGGCTGACCTTTGCCCCTGCCCCGTGTGCTTTCAGAGACGTGCGTCATGTCCCCGAGCCAGAGAAACAACTGTGGGTACCCCGGCGTCACGGCCAGCGAGTGCGCAGCCAAGGGCTGCTGCTTTGACAGCACCGTCCGCGGGTACCCGTGGTGCTTCTACCCGCTGAACGACATCCCAGAAGGTACGTCCCTGCCAACGCGGTGGGGCTGAGGGCGCAGACTGCGGGAGAAAACCCACATGGGGACTCTGTCCGCATGGCCAGCTGTGTTTTTGCCCAGATTGTGGCCATGGGGGCCTGGGGAGGAGTGGTGGAGCCTAAATCACCATGAATCCGGGTCTGGGACAGAGGGGCAGGGCTGACAGACCGTTTGGGGAGGGACCCTGCCTTTTTCCTGCCTTTCCCCCACATCCGTACCCCAACGCTGTGAAGAGTCACCCCTTTGAGGCGGAGCTCGCTGGGTGGGAGGGCAAGGAATAGCAAAATATGAAGATGGTCCATGTTTGCTAAAGAGTCTTCCCGTTGGTTCTTTCAAGTCAAAACCCCCCTGGAATTATTGCAAAGTGAGAGAACATCCTTATCCTCACTAACACATCTTTTCTCCCGCACCTTCCCTTTCAGAGGATTGTGGATTTTAGCAGCTCTCGGTGGGAGTCACGTCTACACTTAGAATGGACCCCCTTCCCCCCAGCTGCCGCTCAGCCTCGCCACCACCCCCACATCTTCAGCTTCTGTGTCTGAGCCTCATCTCACCGCATGGATTGCCAGCTTTGATTTTTCCTGCTCAACATTGACCTGAAAATTAAAAGAGACAAATGCTGCTTTGTGCTTTTAGTTCTTCTAAAAAATAAAAATGATTTTCTTTTCTTTCAAGGGTTATACACTAATCACTGTCCCAGGTGAGAGCTGAGGGGTGGGTGAGAGGAGGATGTGGCCACTGGGTTGCAGAAGTTGCCTCAGTTGCTATTAGCAACCGGGGTCCACCCACAGGGCCCTTCACTGCAAAGTCTTCCAGAAGCACCTCCCAGGCACACCCTTGTCAAGTCATGAAAATAGGCACCAGATTCTATCAATGTTCCCCCAGAATTCATTGTGGGTGGCACACTGTTGCGTAGCAAAAACCGCCCGTAAATGTCTTCACTTCCCCCAGCCCCCAACCCCGCTCAGCACACAGACATGCTTCTGTCCCGTCATGGCCCAGCACCCTGCACAGGACTCAGAGCTGGTGCTTGCTCTCTGCCACACTGTCTTTCTGAAAACTCACAAAACCCCTGAAGAATTCCCACAGAGGAATGCAGCTGACGGGAGGGGGAGAGGCCTGGATGGAGAGCGAACAGAGGGCGAGGCAGTGGCCGTGCCCCACGGGATCTGGAACAAGATGCTCAGAGGGTGCTAGGAGCTTGCCCGGTGTCATCCTCCTCGGCCGCCCACACATGTCCGTGGACCTACCGCATTCACTCACGTTTTGGGGGTCAGTGGAGCTGCTGAATGCTGGGTGTGGTGACAGGTGGGGTAGGTGGCCCTGAGGGGACAGAGGACCTGGGTGACATGCCACTTCCTTTTCATGGCCAGAGCCAGGTGGGGTGAGATAAGAGAGGAGGAGGTTGGGGAGAAAACCCAGAAAGGCCCCAGAAGAACGAGACATTTCCTCTCACGCCCAGGAATACAGGCACAGACCTGCCCCACGCACAGCGGCCCCTCCCCCACGGCAGCCCCTCACCCACGGCAGCCCCTTACCCACGGCGCATCCCCCCTTCAGTGCCCCATGGTGCTCAGGATGGGGGGACCAGGATGGGGGTACCACACCACATCCCTACCCATGTCTCTCTACAGCCATGAGCACACGGGCAAAGGAGGTGGGAGGGGGGCAGATTGGTTCTGAAGGAAGCAACGGCGGTCTCGCTGGGTCACTGCAGGGTCCTTGAAGCACACGGAGGTTGGTGGGGAAAGGCCAGCGGGTAACAACAAGCCTTAGCAAGAACAGCGCTGCTGACAAGGCTCAGGATCAGTTAACGGTTTGGGGAACACATCACATACACGCGTGTGCATGTGTGCATGCACACATACATGTACACACATGCACACACAGTCCCTAAAGAATTCAAGCTTCTCTTCTCCCAAACCTTTGGAAACTAGGCTGAGGACACCCGAGTGGAAGGTCAGCTGGGGCCCGTTCTCTCTCTCTCTCTCTCTCTCTCTCTCTCTCTAAAATATATTTTATTGATTTTTACAGAGAGGGATAGAGAGTTAGAAACATCGATGAGAGAAAAACATCGATCAGCTGCCTCCTGCACACCCCCTACTGGGGATGTGCCTGCAACCAATGTACAAGCCCTTGACTGGAATCGAACCTGGGACCCTTCAGTCCCCAGGCGTACGCTCTATCCACTGAGCCAAACCGGCCAGGGTGGCCTATGCTCTCTTGCACCTAAAACTGCTGGACTTCGGCCAGGGGAGGGAAAGCCCCCATATTACTTCCATCTCTGAACACACGGCGTAGGGGTGTCGGGTACAGAGAGCGGGCACTCGCTCTGGGTGCAGGTGACAGTGACCTGCAGGATGTGTTACCTGATGAGAAGGACGTGATACACAGAACTATGGATGGAGAACCATGATACGTGTTACCATGACGGGAGAGGACGGAGAGGCTGTGCATCAGAAGTAGCCGTGCCCATCCAGGCTACCAGCTCTAACGTGTCATCCGTGGCCAGCTCTCCTCTGTGACTCTCATCAGGGCCCCATTGGGCCCCAGGTGTCAGCCCAGAAACAGACTATCAGCGCGGCTGCTCTGTGGGTCACCGTGGGCTCCAGCGGGGCCTGCAGTGCCCGCTGAGATGCCTCACTAAAGCCCAGCCTGCGGTGGCCCCGGGCACTGACCGTGGCCCAGCCCCTTGCTCAAAACCCGGTTTTGGTCCTGGTTACCAGGCATTGCTGGAAAGGCCGAGAGCGGGACAGGACAGAATACCTCACCCCTTCCTGGCCCTCACTCCCTCGTTGGTGACCCAGGATCCAGGTGAGCAGTGATCCCACCCACTTGCACCCGCAGTGTCAGAAGCCAAACATTGTTTAGTAACAGAGAGCTGTGGACAGGGAATTCGGAGGGCTGGTCAACCTTAATTGCTCTAAAGCAGTGTTTCCCAAACTTCTCTCATGAGGAGAATCACCTGGTGGAGTTGTTAAACTACAGATTCCTGAATCCCAACTAAGAAATGCTAAACTAGAATTTCTGGGAACATATAGGTAAAATTGTATACTTAACTTAGTGCTCTGTCTTAGAGCACTAAGTTAAGTATACAATTTTACCTATATGTTCCCAAAAATTCTAGTATACTTAACTTATACTAGAATTGTATACTTAACTTAGTGCTCTGTCTTAGAGCACTAAGTTAAGTATGCAATTTTACCTATATGTTCCCAGAAATTCTAGTTTAGCACTTCTTAGTTGGGATTCAGGAATCTGTAGTTTAACAACTCCACCAGGTGATTCTCCTCATGAGAGAAGTTTGGGAAACACTGACTCTAAAGGGTCAGAGCTAATTATTAGATGTTGGTAGTTGAAGCAGCCTCCACCTATTAGTCCTAAATTCACTGATTGGCTTTTATTGGAGTTTCCTGCCCAGGGGATACAGGTGTATCCTATCATTTTAATCTTAATAAAAGGGATGGAAAACACAGAGCGGGTAGTAGTTCTCCCACTAGAGTTGGACTACCGCCTGGCCCCCATTTTCCAAATTAAAGAGATTAATTTCATAGTCTCTTTTTCATTTGTGGATGGCCTTCTCCAGCACCTGAACCCTGAACCAGAACCCTGAATCATGAGGGACTTGAAAGGGGCTTCCACACACGGGGAGTGTTAACCTGCCCGGCTCTCACTTGGGGTTGTTGATTGGTTTCACACACACCGTGGCTTGAGTGTCTGGGTTTGATCCTTGAGCTTGTTTGCTCTGGGGCTGGCGGTGCAGTGGAGGTTACCAGTGCTCCCTGATAAATTCCCACACAATAGGGTTCTGTTCAGACGATGTTGAACTAAAGACCAGGCCAGGAACCAATTCTCCAAGCCAAGTTGAGGCTTAAGAGCGTATTTGTAGAAGGATATTGTGAACTTAAGAAAACTCCCTCGCCTTTCTTTGTGAGAGTGGGAGGGGCAGGTTGGGAAAATATTCAATAAATGTGAGCATGATAGGAAACAACAGTGGCCATTAGTTAGGTATTTGATCCAAATATCAATGGCTATTAGAAAAAATGTCATCCACTTAAAGGTCCGTGCAGACAGACGATTATAGTTAGTAACAAAAAGATGTATGTATAGTATTACAGTATGTAGAGGTATTTCTATGTTTTAAAAATTGAAATTATTAGGATGGCATTGATTAATAAAATTATATAGGTTTCAGGTGTACGAAGTGAGAGCCCGGGCATGGTTAACACTTCCCGCGGGGGCAATACATAATCTCTATGTAGGATTTTGTGTTCTTAATAGTTCTCCTCAGGTCTTAATGTTATCCTGAGTTGGACATTTTGTGGGTAGCAAACAGATTAAATTAGGCGGGTCTGCATATATCTACGTACATATGAGGTGCGATGAAGTTGAGTGGACATAATAAGTAGGAAACCTCTATGCTAAAGGCAAACATTGAAGGTATTTTATTTGTTTACTTAATCTGTTCCAGGTCATCAATGTCAAGAACTCAGAAGAGCGCAGAGTTTACCCTACTTGCAAGCTGATAGTTTTATGGATGCTGGCAGAAGGAGAGCCCTGGTTCAGAGATAAAGGACTATATTGCTCCCGGTGCAGCAAGCAGCATGAGGGCATCATGTTTGTGCCCCCACATCCTCCTGGGGTGACACAGATGGGCTCAGACAAATACTGGAACACACGGTGGGTTGCATTACAGGACAGGAACCCTGACTTCTTAAGGAACTCAAATCTTTTTAGGGGCAGTAAGCTTGTCTGCCCTCCGCTCCCGATGGAAGTGCCATACCTGCCTTCCCAGATTCTTTGCTCCACAAACATCCTTGGAGAGATAGTCTGGCATGAAGGACTGTTTTGACAGCCTCCTACTCATCTCCTTGGTGGTGGCCGGGTATTCCCATCCAGGGTTGTGGGGGTGGCCAACACTGGACAGCTGAGATCAGCTCCAGCTTGCATCACATACGCTCATGCCATGCAGGGCCACCTGGTGGTGCACTCAGGAACAGAGCGAACAATGGGGGGCTGCAGGAGGAGGCTTTGCTGCATCAAGAAGGCAGGGTGTTCATGGTTCCTGCGGAGCATGAGATTGGCTTGTTTGAGTAATTCTGTGGGCTGGCAGGGAAGTGAGAGCCCCTATACAGGGCAAGCGGGAACTGTGCCACGTCCCCTGATAAGGAGGTTGGCTTGGCCAGGGACCTTATCTGGGGGGACAGGTAGGGAGAACATGTGGTCAGGCCACCTGAGGCCCTCTCAGTTCCACTGAGCACTGAGTCTTAATTTCAGGTCCCAGACCATTAGGACAGTTAAAGAGACATGCACAGATGTGAGAGGCACAGATGTGAGAGGCACATGGATAATTGTCTCAATAATTTTTAAACTTTTAAAAGTTTATTTTTAGAGAGTTTTAAAGATGATAATACAGGAAAAGGCAGATTTATTTGTTTGTTTGTTTGTTTGTTTGTTTATTGAGGCCCAGTGCATGAATTCATGCACCAGTGGAGTCCCTTGACCTAGCCTTCAGGATCAGGCTGAAACTGGCTCTCAGACATCTCCCAAGGGGTCCTGGATTGTGAGAGGGCACAGGCCAGACCGAGGAACCCCACTGCTGCACAATCAGGGCTGGGGAGGGACACGGGAATTTGACTAGCCAGGGAGGGACCACGGCAGGGCTCCAGATTGTGTCTGGCCTGTCTTGCTCAGTCTCAATCAGCCAGACCCCAGCTAATTTACCAGTAGGAGCATCTGTCCCCTGGTGGTCAATGTACATCATAGCGAGCAGTCGAGCAGTCTTAGCATCTCATTAGCATAGTATGCTTTAATTGGTTGAATGTCCAACTGGTCGACCAGACACTTATCATATTAGGCTTTTATTATATGGGATTGATTTCAAAGAGGAAGGGAGAGGGAGATAGAAACATCAGTGATGAGAGACTCATTGCAAGCCTCCCACTGGAGATTAAGCCTGAAACCCAGGCACATGTCCTTGGGCATAATCAAACCTAGGACCCCTCAGTCTGCAGGCTGGCACTCTATCCACTGAGCAAAACCGGCTAGGGCAGATTTTGTTTTTCTTAAAGGACCAGATGGTAAATATTTTAGGATTTGTGGGCCAAACAGTCTCTGTCACAAATAATCAACTCTGCCATCACAGCTTGGAAGTAGCCTTAAACAAATTTGTAAATAAATAGGCATGGCTATGTTTCAATAAAGTTTTATTAAAAAACAAAAACAAAAAAACAGGCAACGAGTCCATGCACCATAGTTTACCAACTCCTACTATTAATATAATATATCAGTTTACCTTGCTATGGTAACGTAAGTGATTTAAATATTTTGACGTTTTAAGATCAATCAGATTGTGGCTTGTGTTAGTATGGTGTCAAATAAAGCAAAACAAAGCACCCACTCAGATATCAAAGAGACATCTTAAAGTATTGTATGTCTTAAATAAAGTCTTTCAAAGAAGTACAAGGACAAATCACATTGCACAACACATTGGAAAATGTGCTAGAAGTTATAGCCACCCAATTATATTCCCAAATATAATTCATCAAGAAATCTCGAACTTCATTCCCTTCCCAACTCTGTACCAAAATTCTTACCAGCAGTAGTTCATTTGTGTATGTCTTCCCCTAACTTTGGCCGACTTCTTCATTAAGTAGATAAATTTAATCATGGGCTCCATGGGCAGCACAACCAAACTCCAGAAACCTGGAAAGCTGGGGAGCAAATTGAATTGTATGCTGTTCAGCCCCCTCTCCGCACCAACCCTCTCCCTCCTCCTCTCAACACACACTATTCTTCTACATTTAGGGGCGCTAGACATGTAAATAGTAATAAAAATAATTTTCCCCTGATGATAGTGTAAAATGAGATATGATTCCTCTTGGGCTGTAGGAGGCACATGAGACATTAGAGAGCACTGACTAAGCCCACCTCCCTTTACAAATGACACTGTAATCCAGAGGTGTGAGGAGGCTTGCCTTAGTTGTGTGCATCTATCAATATCTAGATACTATTTTATGAGATCGAAAGGTAATCTGGGAAGTAGGCAACTTTAGGTGGGAAGTTCCCATTCCTCAGCTCCTGGGTTGCTGTCTCTCCACTTCTTTACTCCACTCCCCTCATGAAGGAAGCCCTGATATGCAGACACTGGGTCCAGTGCTGAGATACACAGTGAATAGGAGATATCTTCCCGTGTAGACCATAAAATGGGCAATAGCTTTAGCCCTTCCTTTGCGTTGCTGTAAGGGTATGATCTAGCTGGAAGGATATGATCTAGCCTGTGAAATCCTCAGATGCTCACTTGGCACAAAGTTAGCCCGAAGTAAGTATTAGCTGTTATCATTGATACAATTAACAAGAGAAAAGTAAAAATCTACTTACTAAAATGTAGGTGCAGCTGATGTTTTGAATCAGGTGAACAGAAGATGTTTGGGAGAGGGGTGAGGGACCTGCCATCTCTCTGAGGGAAGTAAGGGGAATCTTTCTGGAAGAAGTGACTCCTGAATTGAGAGCTCAAGTGCAGGAGGGAGTTAGGAAGGCAAGAGTGGAGGGAGGGCCCTGAGAGAGACGAGGGCACACCAGCAAAGGCTCTAAGGCCAAGGTGTGTGCAGAGAAGTGTGATAGGCGTACACTGTGAGGGAGACCCAGCAATAGGAGAGGCTGGGGGTATGTAAGTCCAGATCATGAGGAATTTCGGAGGGTTGCTGAGATGAACTTATTTTTGCATCCGGGCTTCTCCTTTCACCTAATCAGACTCATCTCTGTGGAGAGCAGCCGCCTCCCCAAGATGGAGTGAGGAAGTGCTGGCCAGGGGAGCCCTGTCGGTGCACCATGGAGGAGAGGTCTCCTGCCCTCCTTGGAGGGCCCCCCCATTTCTGAAGGAGGGGGGGCTTCTCTCTGCTAACAGCTGGCAGCTGGCCTGGTCATTTCCCCAAATAGCCTTGGGATATATATATATTTCCTGTGGTAGGCACCTACTTTATCTGGAGAAATGCATGGCTTACCCCTTCCTGGGTGTGACCCTGTGGCGCCCAGCTCCAGACATGCATGGGGCCAGTCTTCCACGTTGGCATCCTGGAACGGCCCTGCTCCCGGCTGGGCAGGGAGGCCGCCCTGGTGCCCAGAGCATGGCATCTGGCCCGGAAGCCTCGCCTGCGTGGCCCTCTGTCTCGCGGCCGAGCTATCTCAACCCCATTTCCTAACAAAAGATCCGAAGGGGGCCGGGGCCAGGGGTGAGAGGGAAAGGTTACTTCCGCTTGCTGAGCAAACAGAGAGGTGACGATAAAACGCCCGCTGGCAGCGGCCCCGGCATTCTGCAGCGGCCCCGGTGCAGCTGAGCGAGCGCGGACATGGCAGGCGCCCGGCTCCTGGCAGCGGTCCTCGTCCTGGGCCTGTGCGCCATGGCGGGGGCCGGGAAACCATGTAAGTGAACACCCCGAAGTGACCCTCGTGGCTCAGTGTCCACATCTGGGCAGTGGGGCCTCTGGGCCAGCGAGCCCGGAGCACCTGCTAGAGCCCAAACCCAGTGGGCACGGGAGGTCCCCGGGGTCTCTGTTCCACTGGCTTCTCTCAGGGGGAGGGGAGGAGGGTTCGGAGCTGCAGGGAGCGGTGTGGGCCGCACGCCCAGCCCCGTGCACGCTCACACTTGCTTTCCTGAGATTCAGGGAGGATGCCCAGGGTCCGTGAGACAAGGTCGGGGTGACCCTGGTGCTGGGGGGCCTTCTTGAGGAGAGGGGCTGGGCAGGAGACCCCCCCCCAGGGGCTCCTTGGAGTCCGGCTTTGATCACCTTTCATCCCCGTCTCCACGTGGGTCCACCTGTCCATCTCTTTCCAGAAGATTATTTTATTTTTTTTAATATAATTTTTACCAATGACACAATTGCAGCAAAGCCCTGTCACGTGTGGGTGGGACAAGGCTTTGCACGTCCCTGGTGGACACGAGTGTGCCCGGAGCGGGGCAGTGTGCAGGGGTGCTGACCCGTCTCCCCACAGCCCCCTGCCAGTGCTCCCGGATGAACCCCGACAGCAGGAAGAACTGCGGCTTCCCGGGCATCACCAGCGAGCAGTGCTTCTCCGCCGGCTGCTGCTTCGACGACTCCATCCCGGGGGTGCCCTGGTGCTTCATGCCCCTCCCCATGCAAGGTAACCGCAGGGCAGGGGGGCCCGCAGCCCAGGCCCCCAACGGTGCCGGGGCCCGGTGCCCAGGGCCGCCAACGGGAAGAGAAAATCCCCCTTCACCTGTGTCCACACCCGGAGCCCACGTGCCAGCCCTTTGCCCCTTTGGCAGACACCTGTGGGAGCCTGTGTGTGTACAGAACCTGGTTCTCTGCACTTGAAGAGAACAGCCTGCCGACTCAAGGGTCCCAGGTTCCATTCCGGTCAAGGGCATGTGCCTTGGTTGCGGACACATCCCCAGTAGGGGGTGTGCAGGAGGCCGCTGATGGATGCTTCTCTCTCATCAGTGTTTCTAACTCTCTATGCTTCTCCCTTCCTCTCTGTAAAAAATCAATAAAATACGTATATTTTTTTTTTTAAAAGCAAACAACAGCGCTGGGGCCTCTCCTGCAGTAAAAGCGCGCCCGGAGGTGCTGCCGGGGGAAGGAGGCCCTTCATGGCACACCTCACTCACGTGGCTGCTCGCAGACTCAGTGCTAGGAAGTTAGGCCCACTTTTGAGGGTGGCTTTGCGCCAGATGCTCCAGAGAGAAGGTCGCCCATCCCGAGGCGTGCACACAGGAAAGTGGGTGCATGGCAGGCTGGCGTGTCCGGAACGCACACCTGGCCTCTTGCCCACACTCCCGGGGGGTTGGGGGGGGACTGAGTGCGAGGCTCCCAGGTGCTGAGTCTGGCTGCTGGCCGGGAGCCTCCCTCGGGGGGACGTGCTGTTGGGTTTCAATGCTTTAGAGCCTGAAAGCTACTTCTCCTCTCTGGACTCGGTATTCCCCTCTGTAAAATGGGGCAGCCAGAGAGGAGCCCAGAGAGGAGAAATAACTTTCTTGAGGCCCCAGTACTTTTGGGCTTCTGAAATGTGACATCTGGGGGGTAGGGGTGGCCAGCTGCTGGCACCAACCCGTGTGCAGGCCTCGGGTGGCCCAGCCTCAGAAGGTCCTCCTGACACATCTCGGCTGTAAATCAGAGGTGTCCCCAAAGGGAAAGGATGGGAATTGTCTAATCCAGGGGTCGGCAAACAGCGGCTCGCGAGCCACATGCGGCTCTTCGGCCCCTTGGGTTTTTAGCAAAGGCCGGCTTAGGAGGACCCTGATTAAGTGAATAACAACGTACCTACCTAGATAGTTTAAGTTAAAACAATTTGGCTCTCCAAAGGAATGTCAATCGTTGTGCTGCTGATATTTGGCTCCGATGACTGATGAGTTTGCTGACCACTGGGCTGGTCCACAGAGCGGCCTAACTGTGTCTCTGTGTTGTTTCTCTCCCACCCGGGGGCGCGACAGAAAATGAGGAGTGTGTGATGGAAGTGTCGTCCCGCGTGAACTGCGGCTACCCGGGCATCAGCCCCGAGGACTGTGCGTCCCGCAAGTGCTGCTTCTCCGATGCCATCCCCGAGGTGCCCTGGTGCTTCTTCCCCAGGCCCGTGCAAGGTAACCTCGCCGCGGGCAGCCCGTCGGTGCCGGGCACGGGGCCTTCTCGGGAGGAGGGCGCCGGGGAGCGGGTGCTCTTTCCCGGGACGTCCTGCCGGAATGCCGCCGAGTCCCCGGCTCCCGCCCCAGAGGGGCCATTTCTGGGGACACGTAGGCTGATGGGTGAGCGTGCCTTTCCCGTGAGGCAAGTCCAGAACATTCTCAGCCACGGCGGTGTCCTTTAGAGCCACGCTTAGAGCCACACAGCATCCTGGGTCTTTATGACTGTTTAAAAGCAGTGCTTTCAGCCGTGCCCCTGGACCGTGGACCACACGGGTGGCCTCACAGTCCAGTCCCCATGTTTGGATGCTACTAAATGCCCTCGCTGTGCTGGGTGCCGGGGACGGGGCCCAGAACAGAGCAGACGTGGCCTCCTCTCTGTGGACCTCCTGCCCTCTCACATGGCCATGCATGCCAGGTTCTGCCCCAGCGCCTGCTTCGGTGCCAGTCCCAGAGGGCCCGGCCCCCTCCCCCTCCTCCATCGCAATGCATCTCCTGACACTGAGCTTGGCAAGATAAAAGAAAAGCAGGCATTCCCCCCCCCCCAAATGGGAGGAGGGCTCTGGTCCTTGAAGAGCACAGCCTCCCCTTCCAGAAATTTCCAAGGGCAATCTAAGGATCCCCCTGGAAGATGGCCAGCTGTTTGGGGAGACTGCCCCCCTGAGGCCACCCCCAGCCCTGGGCGTTTGTCCCAGCAGGGGAGCTTCCTTCACGGGCACAGCTGGGCGCGGGGCCTGTTGCCACGGGACCCACAGCACCCTTAGCTCAGGCTCCGGGCTCTGACCTCTCACCAGCGTCTCGCTTTGTGCATTTCCAGACTGTCATTACTAAGAGGCAGTGGCTTCGGAGGACCCACCGGCTCCTGCATGGTCTGAATAGCGAGGGGACTCGCCAGCTCACCCGGCTCCTGTTCCGTGTTTCCCGAGCGCCTGGGTTTTCTTCGTCCCTTTGTATCTGGCTCAGGTTTCACATTCAATGTCTTCAAATAAAGGAAACCCTTACCATCGGCTCCATTTTATTGTGGCTTCATTGACACAGAGGTGGAGACAGGTGTGTGTGTGTGTGTGTGTGCACACGTGCGTGGGTGTGTGTGCATGTGTGTGTATTTGTGTGTGTGTGTGTGTGTGTGTTTGTGGCTTTAATACTCTTTCATTTCCCATACGAGCAAAAATTCATCCCATGTGCCTGGCGACTTGTGCAGCAATCCAGTACCCCGTGTGAGTGAGTTTCTGAATTTGCCTCACTTCTAACTCCTGCACCCGTGGGTCATGTGTATACACACGTGTGTAAACTCACATGACTCTAGCCCTTAAGAGTCTTGCAGTAACATATGATTTCAGAACGCAACTGCAAAGTCACTTCCCTGTGACCTAAGGCATCTTGGACCAGCTGCCCTTGAACCAAGAGCCAGGGGCCCCAGCACCTCTGGGGACCCCACTTTTCAGAAGGAGACCACCTGTGGCCTCAAGGTGGTCAAAGCTTCCTCTCGCTCACAGCACCCTGGCAGGTTGAATAAGTGGGTGCCTGTGGCTGGAGCTCGGGGTCTCAGAAACATTCGGGACAAATGGCCTATGAGACAGGCGCGGGCGATGGTGAGCTTGTTGGTCACAGGGTGCTGGTCCTCTCACCTTCGCCCGCAGGGTGCAGATCACACGTGCGGAGGCACTGAGAGTCTGGAGGCCTGGCTCCCGGGACCCGCGCGGCTGCCCTGCCTCTGGGTTTGGCGGGAGCTCCTGGCTTCTGGCCGGTGTGGGCGCGTTCTGGCCCACGGACCTCCTGTTCTCAGGCAGGGTGTGGACCACGGGCGGGAATCTCCGGGCCCCACCCTGAAGGTTTTCTCAAAATCCTCCTCTTGGGCCCCACCCCCTCTCACGTCCTCCCTGAGGATCCTCTTTGGCGCATAACACCCTCATATCTGAGCTGATTCCTACAGCGCCCTCTGACGATTGCCTGCGGAGTCTTAAGCGATTTCAGGGGCCTTTGCTAGGAGCATGGGGGTCCTTGGGATGTTTTCCTGATTCAATAGGGTAGCTCCTGTCAGCTCCAGAGCCCCTGATGGCAGCTCATTGCACAGCATCCAAGGTGGCTTGTATTGCGCTGTCCCCTCCTCCTCCTCTTCCTCCTCCTTCACGTGGCCACCAGAGGGTCCTCGTTGGCCCTGGAGCAATGGTTGGGGACCCACGAACCCTCTCAATCAGAAAAACGAACCTTTCCTCGTCCTTCTCTCTGCTCCCTCTGTCTCATCCCTCCCCCTCCTTCCCTCCCGTGAGGAGTTATTTTCTCCTCCGCCATCTCTGCTCCTCTCCCTCCATCCCCCTCCCCTCAGAAGCACCCGGTCTCCGCTGGCCTCTGGCAGTCATGCCGCTGACGGTGAGGAGGGTGAGGCTGGGTGCAGAAGGTCCGCCTGTGACCATGACCATGCCGTTGGGAGCAGGGGAAGGGGAAGCACTCTCTGCCCCCCACACTCACACACTCCCTGGTCTCCTGGCTCCTGAGGTTCACGCAGGCCCTTGCTGTCCTGCTCAGGTGCTGAAGGTGGTCTGAGAAGCAGTCACAGGAAAGGGGACTGGCTGGCACTGGCGGAGGGGACACCACAGGGCACGTGTAGGTGGTGTCCCAGGTGTGTGATGTCGGGGTGCCTCTCTTAGCGCCCAGGTTCCCAGGAGCTCTGTTTGTGAAGCGTGGGTAATGCTGACACCAGTGGCTGTGGGAGAAAAGTAATGTTTGTGAGCTGCCCGGTGCCCAGTGGCCCCACTCGGAGGAGCACCTTCCCAGAGAGCCTGGGCAGAGGGGCCTGCAGCTCCTCTTGTCCTGACACCAAGCAGGGCCACCGGCTGTCCAAGTAGCAAAGCCCTTTCCACACGGCGTCAGGGCAGTGTGACTGCGTCTTGGTGTGGGTGGGTCCGGTGGGCTGGGCATTTGCTCATTACACGCACTGCACACACACTGCACACACACTGCACATGCACTGCACACACTGCACATCCACGGTACACCCATTGCACATACACTGCACACGCACTGTACCCACTGTAACTGGCTCTCGCTTTCAAGGTGGTTATGTCCTAGAAAGTCACCGGCACTGAACTGGCAAATATTGAACCACGGGGATTGGGGAAACACGGGCCAGGTTCCCAGGAGCGTCTTGACCAGTTCCACCCACTGACCAATGCGTGACGCTGCCTGAGGTGTGCTTCTGTTTGCAGTAGCTTACTGTATATTGTTGGCTCACTAGCACTGAGCTCACAGCCACCTGCAACTCAGCTCACTCCCGAGGAAGCTGGCCTAGAACCTGCTTTCTCTCTGAGAAACACCACAGCCTTGTCCTTAGGACGCTAGCCAGCCCTTGCCCACCGTGCTTGGGGACCACTCAAGTGCACAATCACCACCGAAAAGCACAAAAATGCCAGCAGGGAGATCTACACTGGCCGTGAAAAGACATGCGCTTACAGCCAGGGTGAAAACAGGAAGGCAGAAGGACCTTGTTGGACCTCATGGGAGTACCCTGTTGGACCTCAAGTTTTTTATTTTTTATTTTTTTAATTAAATATATTTTATTGATTTTTTTTTTTTTTTTTTTTTTTTTTTTTTTAGAGAGGAAGGAAGAGGGATAGAGAGCTAGAAACATCGATGAGAGAGAAACATCGATCAGCTGCCTCCTGCACACCCCCTACTGGGGATGTGCCTGCAACCAAGGTACAAGCCCTTGACGGGAATTCAACCTGGGACCCTTAAGTCTGTAGGTCAATGCTCTATCCACTGAGCCAAACCAGTTAGGGTGGACCTTGAGTTTTTACGCTCTGCACATTCGTGCACCAGCCTTCACCTCACACGCACCGGGAGTATTGACTTTGGAGTTGCAAATACATTTTAGCGAGCAGGCAAATTGCGAGCAGGGAGTCCGTGAGTAGTGAGGAGCACCTGTGTGCTCATTGCTGGTAGCAGATATTTATTCCGTGTGGTGCATATGCATGGACACCCCTGGCTGTTGTTTCAGGGTTCAGGGAGACACCCCTTTGCCTAAAGGGGAAGGAGGAAAGGCCACAGCCTCATAGGCACCTCCACGGAGCCCCATGGCGTCCGGCGCTGCAATAAGACTATCTGTATCAGGTCTCCGAAAGAGAGCACTGCACTTATGCTGGCCACAGTTTCTGCACCTATGTCTCTTCCTCGCTGTGTGACCTTGGGCAAGTTACTTAGATGTGTGAGATCCTCCCGCCCGCCAACTGGTGGGCAGAGTAATGACATTACTGACATCTGTCACAGAGACATCCCCAAGACATTGAATTACCAATCAGTGCGTGCTGAAGTGCCCTGGAGCCCACCCCTTCCTGTTCCGCCCTGGGTCCAGCCCTTTCCAGTTCCTCCCCCACAAAAGACTCCTCAGACCCGCCCCGTGCTGCTTCTCTCCATGTCCATCTGTGGGGGCAGCTCAGCTGGGTCCTTTCTCCCCTCCCCACTCCTTCAGTTCTGATTTCTCTACCTCCGTGATGAGTCCCGCTCATTACTGGGGAATAAACTTTAATATGTCTTGGTGGTCAGTTTCCTGTGCCTCAAACCTTACAAGATGCTCTGCGCCTCATCTTACGGTCTTATGTGCAAGCGAAGGTGTTAATAGCCCCTTTTCCTACAGGCTTTTGACAGGATTCAAGAGTTAATCAATGAGGTGAGCTAAGAACATGTCGGGCACACGGCGAGTGCTTAATGAGAACATGATGCTAGTCATTATTAACATTAACACACACACTTCCCCGTAGGCCCGGCTCCATTAATCAGAATGACAACGTGGTCCCATTACTCAGTGCCCATCAGCCTCTCCAGGAGCCCATGTCCTCATGCAGGAGGCCCATCCCTGCCAAGCCCCCTCCCCGGGGTTCTTCTGTGGCCCTGGCTAACACTATGGTCCCGGTGGGCAGCGGTCCCATCATAGGCTGGACTACCTACCGAGGCTGCCACCTCATCGGGAAAGCAGAGGGTCTGCCCAGCTGGCGGTGTTCCCTGCCCTGCTCACGGCCTCTGCTCCTCCCCGAAGGCTGGTCAGTATCGTGGTGGGAGGTCCCAGCACACCCCTGGGGTTTCCTCAGCTTCCCTGCCACCTGGGGGGTTGGGAATAGAGGATTGGCCTTCATTCCATGGACCCCGAAAGTGTCTGATCCCAGCTCCAGCGCAGCCAGCCCTCTCTGGCAGCTCAGACACAGATGTGCTGATGCCCCGGCTCCAGGGCTGGGTGACCAGGTTCCCACAAGGGCCCCTGAGGGACAGCTTCCATATTTATTTTCCTGTGATTGAACGTAGATGTTCAATCTTAATTTCACACCATCGAACACATGACTTAAGGGAAGGAAGGACCCTTCTATTCGTCCCATTCGGACTCATGGCTAATGAATCTAAGGTGTTTTCCACCTTAAAGAGCCTCCCTCGGCCAAGGATGCTCACTCCGCTGCCTTTCCTCTAGTGCCCCCTGCTGGCCAACATAAGAACACAATTCTCCAACCTTCACCTGCCCCCTACTGGGCATTTCAGGCAGCAATGATGTGGCATCTATGCCTCTGTATAGCTTAACCTCAAGAAATTGATCTCACTGACTATTGTATGTTGCGGATCAGCCTGACTTTATTGATGAGGGCTTGAGAAGCAGAGATTCTGTTTAAAGTTGCATCTGGGGGTTAGAAGCAGCCCTCTTCCCGCCTCGCCTTCTCTCTGTGTCCTCACGGGGAAGACTTACATACACATGAGAGAGAGGGGCCGGCTCTTGTCTCTCTTCCTCTTCTGATAAGGACTCTAACCCTGTCAGATCAGGGTCCTATGCTTACGGCTTCATTTTAGCTTAA